AGGACAATTCCCTGCTGTTGCTGGGTGTGAACCGCTGCAGATGCCACATTTGGCTGGAGTGTGTTTACAGGCGCTTCCTGGTTTGGCTGGGCAGTCTACTACCCGGCAGACATGTTCAGTGCCCTCATGGGGTCCCGCACATATAAAACAGCATGGTGGGCGGTCCCCACAGGCTTTGAAGCTTCGGTGGCCCAATTGGCAGCATCTGGGGCAGACTGTATCTACTCCTGTTTCCCAGTACTGCTCTGTCCTGTACCGGGATCCTCCGAAGCGAATGCCATTGATGAGAAGCCTCCGGGCCTCCTCCAGTGAACCAACTGTGATAACAATAGTTGAGCCCTGACATGCCTATATCTATGTATATACAGTTTACCGGGCTACGGTTAATGCCTGGGGAACGCAACATACTCCCACTTCTTGCCCTCCCGAATCAACTGCTGGTCAACACCCTCCTTCCCGCTACTCACATACAACACCTTAGCAACAGCCCCCTCGGTCCAATACTTATACTCCGTCTTCTTCGGAATAAACGCAACATCCCCCGAATTCAGCGTCGCAACAGGATACTCTCCAATCTGAATCTTCAACGATCCCTCCAGCACCTCAAACGCCGCCGCTCCAGGGCCCTCCCACGTCGGCACAGTCGCACCACTCGCACCGTTGCGCGGGCGGTTAATCAGAATAGTCGACATGGTAAAGTTCACATCCTGCGACTGCGACGGCGAGACCAGTGGCTGCACGATCTGGTATGCCCCGTGCCGGGCGTTGAGGTACTTAGGCCCGTAGTTGTTGGCGATGAAGTACGGTTTTCCTGGAGTGCCGAGGGAGTTAGACTCTTCGTGCCAGTTGCTGGAGGGGGCGGAGCCGTTGGCGAAATCGCGGCGGGGGTTGAAGTCTAGTTTCGCATAGACATCGAATTGCTGGAGGCTGGAGATGGTGTTGGCGTTGGGGGAGGATTCGTTGACGGCGGCGGGGGTGTAGGGGGTATTTGTGGAGGAGGTGAAGTTCTGGCCGAGGGTATAGAAGAGGTCCCTATTCTCATTAGCTCTCTGTGCGGGGTGCATTTCTAGTAGTGATGGGGACGTACTCAAATCCACCCGGCACAACAACGCCAACCATCTCCGTATCCGGGTCCAGAATCTGGAACGTATGCGTGGTATTCCTCGGCACAGAGCCATAGTCACCCTGCGTCAACAGTCTTCCCTGCTGCTCGGCATCATCCTTCTGCGCCCACAGCTGGAACCGCCCTTTGAAGTTGAAGAAGTTCTCATAATGCGCCTGGTGGATATGCGGGAGCACACCCAGCGACCCGCTCGCGGGCGCATTTGTGCTCATCAGCGTGAATGCATAGTCTGACGACGGACCGGTCACCGGGAACCGGTAGACCTGGCTGCCAACGTAGACGGAGTGCGAGTCGGCATAGTGAGGGATGATATACGGACGCGGCGAGGAGGGCGCGTTTTCGAGGTAGAGGTCGTCGACAGACAGGGAGGAGGCAAGGCCGGCGGCGGCTAGAAGGAAGAACGAGCGCATTGTGCTGCGATTGAAGACAGTTGCTTTGAATGAGCGGAAAGAAGGTCTACAAAGTACAGATATAAAAAAGGTGTCGGAATTTCCGTCATCCTAAAACGGAAATTTTGACTCCATCGAATCCACTTCGGGAATCCCGGGTTTCATAACCCCGGGAGCAGTCTACGTAAGTAAAGAAAACGTGTCGATGACAATAAGAACTCGGGTGTTTTGCACCGAGTATTCTTTTTCCATTCTTTATTCAGCGGATGCCGGGATAAACGGCCATGCGTATGTCCGGGAGATCCGAGAGATAACCTTAGATCTTGGATTAGGGGTATGTACCATACATAGTATGTACATGGTATGGAACATGATACAGGATGACAAGAGTGAAATTGAACAAAACTGATAATCAAAAGTTCTTAGGGAAGCACTGGGATCCTGGTTTATATACTCGCAATGGTAAATAAGGTGAAACATCCCAAAATACAGACGGCGCATTATTGAGCCAACAAGTCGGTTCGCCTCATACAGTGTTTTCATTTGTCATGGAATTGCAATTGCCAAAAGACATCCCAAAAATGTTCCCCGGACCGTCCTTTCAACGGTTCGATCACTTTTTGAGTTCACCATTTGACGGCACCAGGGGCACAATGCACAGGACTGGACGATTTATTGCCTCAGCCTTATTTCAGGGTAAACTCTGTTGACGGATTGTCTGTTCATGAAACACAAAATCTATTCGGCCAGTTTTGCAGTCAAGCGGTGCATACTCAAAATGCCCAAAATTGAGTCTCTTTGGCTTCACTAATGCCGAATCGGGTAATCCCCTGGCCAGCTGTGACCACCATTGCTTCATACAGCTGCAAGACAAGTTATTCGCATTCAGCAACATTAACAAATAAATGATTATGATGCCAATTCTAGCCAGGCTCTTCTTTTTGGCCTGGCCAAGGCGTCTGGGGGATCGCCCGAATGCTGGCTGGAATCTGACGCATCACCCAATTTTGAAGAAGGCGAATTTCTGGCACTTCGTTTGAGACAGGACCCTGTCGTTGTATAAAGAGGGCTCTACTTCCGTCACTTGAGTGCTCGTCAACAGCATCCATTGTAATCTATTCATCTTAATCCTTCACTCTTTTACCGAAGACACTCGTTAAACGACACTCAACAAAATGAAGTTCTCTCTCTCTCTCCTCACCACCCTGGCCCTCTCGGCCAACGTGCTGGCTACCGCCACCGTTGAGGCCCGCGGCCCAACTCGCGTTGGGCGCGACCTCGCCTCCATCACCGGCGTCCTCTCCGGCATCAGCGACAAGGTCGGCTCCTTGCACACTGCCATCAACAACTTCAACGGCGGCGACACTCAGCCCGTCGAGTCTGCCTCGGACTCCCTCGTCGACGCCATCAACTCCGGCACCACCAAGGTCAACGGCGGCGATGAGCTGAACAGTATGGACGCCCTGGGCCTCCAGAAGCCCGTCTCCGACCTCAAGGACAAGATCCAGTCTACCATCTCCGACCTCAACAGCAAGAAGCAGAAGATCGTCGACGCAGGCAAGGGCTCGCTGACCTACAACGATCTGCAGAAGCAGAAGACCGCTGCTCTCAAGCTCTCCGACGCTATCGTCTCTAAGGTCCCTGAGAACCTGCACGATATCGCGCACTCGCTTGCTTCTGGTATCTCCGATGCTATCCAGAAGGGTGTCGAAGACTTCGAGGACGTCGCCAACTCGAACTCTGGTAACAAGCCCGCCAAGGCGCCTGTGAGCACTGCTGCTCCTGCGTCTGAGACTGAGACCAAGGCTGCTGAGTCTTCCAGTGCTGCGCCTGTTTCTTCGCAGGCTGCTAAGCCTACTTCGTCTTCGCTGTTCAAGGTTCCTGCTTCTTCGTCTGCTAGCAGCAGTGTTGCCGCTTCGAGCAGCAGTGCGCCTCAGTTCACTGGTGCTGCTTCCGTTAACAAGATGAGTGGCCCTGCTGGTGCTGTTGCCATCGCTGCTATGGTTATGGCTTTCTAAGTGTGTCACACTGAATAATGTGATGTCGAAGGGTTACATGTGGTCTAATGTATTGAAGTGGATATGTGTTTCTTTTTATCTATACTAGTTTGATTTGTTCCAGCTTGGGCTGGCCGTTTGTACGTATAAGAATAACAAGACGATAGTTAGGTTACTTTCTGAGAATCAGTTCAATAGTTCATTATATACTCAAGTCACTGGGCAAAACGTAAATTGGCCCAAAGCAACAGGGAAATAGCGTCAGAGAGCTCATTGGAGTGGCAAGCATGACAGAACAAGCGATACAATAGCTACGTCTCTTAACACCATGCATAAATCCAGAATCAACTCGCAGACGCAGAACCAAATAAAACACCATAAACGTTCGAAACATGTCCCAGTGAGCCCCAAAAAGCAACACGGCGGATTCTGCTGTTGATTGTTTTTCAATGATAACTCACTTGCAATAACGCTGCACCGTTGTATACTGAAATCCGAGTCCAACATCGTCCAATAAATCCAAGACAACATATCCAGTCAAATGCAGCAATATCCAATCAAACTATAGTAGATTTGACCACCTGCATTGTGTTCGAGAAATGTCTGCAAATTACTGCACAATCTGTAATGATTCGTGCGAAGCCTGACCATTTCATAACCGCGATGCTTTCATCCCCGAGATCGCGAAGAATTTCTATGTCCGCAAACCGTCCCCCCAACAGCTGACAACCCACCTCATATATAACCGGCTGTGGGAGGAGGGCCCTCTACTGGCGGTGGATAAGGAAGCCAAGTGAGGCATACCTTAGATGATGTTGACAGGATAAACACCGAAGCTCTAATCAATGCTGATTTGGATGACTGGGACGGGGAAGAACTGCGACTGATTGTATGTATTGTCCTTTAGTCGTTGGTCTTTCTTTACAATACAGAATCCTGATGCCTTTTGAAAATAAAGGCTCCCACTTCACACAAACTAGGCAATAGTTAGAGCTGAAATGGGGATCGGGGGTCGGAGGTCCGGAGGAGTCGATTATCCGCGACTAACGAGGTCGTATACAGAGAGGTCCAATTTTAACGAGAGAAGTGCATTGCCTATTAACGCGTATACCCACACACAGCTGGTTGAGTGCTTGTCTATCTACAATGTGCGTACACATTGGCTATATAACCGGGTCGGTGGAACTTGCCTAATCGATCCGATGTTATTCCTTATCAATAGCCAGTTGTCGGAATATAGAGGTTCCTTAGCGAACAATACCAACTGATGCCTGATTGATGCCTCGCTGATATCATATGGCGCAAGCAGCGTATTTACTCTGCTATTACTGCTTTTGAAACCGCACAATCGCTTAGTATACTCTATACGGTAGTTACGGTCTTATATAGGATCCTAGATAGCACACTTTTGCAAGAATCAGAGACCTCGACCATATACGCTTGATACGTACTTTCAACCCTGACTAAGCCGCAACTCCGACACCCGTCTCTTGATCACGTGCGCGGAATCCATCAGGCCTCTGTGCATTATGTAATCAGCGCCTCCATGTGCAGATGCCACCTGTAACGGGCTAGGCCCGAAAAGCACCTCGAATCATGAATGATTCTCGATTGAGGGTGAATACAGTTGAGGCCACCCGACCGTAGACCTCAGCCCACCCTCTAGCTAGTCACGTGGGATAAGGTCACCCTGGCCCACGAAGGTGGGCTGAGGTTTTTCAATACCTTACAGAAATCTAGTTCTCCTATATAACTTTTCTTTCTCACATTTCTTTTACTACTTCCCTCTGTTTTCTTTCTATTTCTCTACATCTGTCTATCTACTACTCCTCTAATCCGTACAAGCTCGGCCATCCAGAATGGCGAGAGTGAAGACGAATGTGAGTTAAAAGTTATTATCTAGTTCGGAACTAGTTTTCAATCGGAACCAGTTGTTTCGTTGGGATCAGACTAACGAGTATTTTTAGGAGGCATACAAGCGATACGTTGAGCTAGGCAAGGAAAAACTGTATCTACCGGATTTTGAGGTTACGGTAAAGATACGAATGCGGGTTAGGAACTAGAACTAGTTAATAACTAGTTCTACGTTTAGTCTATGGGTTACCTGGTGCCGTTTGTTGGGGAGGTCTATTGCCGTGCTGAAGGATGTGAAAATGTGGTGAGAACTAGCTCACTAGTACTAGTTAATAACTGGTTGCTGATGGAATGAATTGAACCAGACCAAATTTATCTCCCTCAACAATCTCAAGAAGCATATTCGAACGAAGCATACCCATACCTATGATTTGTTGGATGGTGAAAGTGGTGGGCGCCCTGACCAAGAGGCAGAGTCTGCAGCAGTCAGTAAGTTAACTGAGTTCCAATTCAGAAACTAGTTACTAACTGGTTCCAGAATTCTATGAGGCGGTGATCAAGAAATTTGATGCCAAACAGTCTGCCCCTGCCCTGCCCCCTCTTCCACGCCGCCGTGATGGTGAAGTAAGAGAACTAGTTTTCTTTGTTTACATGAACTGGTTATTAACTAGTTCTAGGTTCACATGACTGAGATGAGACGTCTGGTCCGCCGCATGGGCCATGTGGTCCCCTGTGAGAGTTGCAAGGATGCACACAAAGCTAAGTGTAAGTAATGATTAACTACTGATCCTGAACCACTGACCAACCAGTTCTACCAGTGTGCTGCAAGTATGAGGAGTGTGAGCACTTTGCACTTTTTGATAGTGGTGACCAGGGAAAGTCCTCTGAAGAAGAGGAGTCCAATGAAAGTGAGGATGAAGACTAAGCTTTTTCTGTTGAATTTTGCCACAGGCTTGGTAGCTATTAGATGTTAATGAATTGATATTCCTATCTAAACCAACTAGTATGTGACGGTTTGACGTCGTGTCTATGGTTTGACGTCGTGTCTACGACTCGACGCTGCGTCTACGACTAAGTATGACAAATGAATTGAACAAAGTCGACATGGATAGAACCATACCGTACAGTCATCTATAAATAACCCCTTCATCTGCTAGATAGAATTCCTTTCCTTTTGCTTCTTCAGATTCGATATTCCCGTCGATGGCTACTAGTTGGTTTAGATAGGAATATCAATTCGTTAATATCTACTAGCTACCGAGCCCGTGACATAGTAGCCATCAATGAGAATATCAAATCTGGAGAAAGAAAAGGAAAGGAATTCTATCTAACAGATGAAGGGTTTTTTATAGACAGCTGTACGGCAGGGCTCTATCCATGTCAACTCTATTCAATTTGTTTGTCATAATTAGTTGTAGATGCAGTGTCAAGCTGTAAACACAACATCAAGTTGTCACAATTTCTTTCTATATTGAAATGTTAGGGTTTGAACTCAAGTTGTCTTAACCTAAAGCTACCCTTTATTATACAAGAAGGAATTGTTGAAGAAGAAACAAATAGAGCTGAGACAGAAGCCTTTTTCTATGGTTGTACAGGAATGATATTCCAAATAGTATTCTCTGTGGTCCCTCTCAGAGGTCAGCAGTTGGATGAAGGGGTCGCTGGAAGTTCTTGTATGCCAGGGGATCGTATGACAGTCATTGATAGTTTTTTTGGGCCCTTTCTGGCTGCTTTATGTGCTGGCCTTGGCAAAACAGTCATCCTTTGGGTTCATACGCGAACCCTATAACATGAAAGAGGAAGGTTAAATGGAACTATTTAAGGGTGGGAACTAGTCCTCCCTCGTATAGCCTGAAGTTGCTCCTCAAGCTCTAATTGCCTTTCCAATAACCTTACCCGCTCTCTATCATATTCCAGATCTTCTTCTTGCTGTTGGGTTTGATATTGGAATTGAAGATTAGTCATTGCAGTCTGTTGCAGATTTGGTGTCCTGAGAAACTAGTTAATGTATGGACTAGTGAACTAGTATATGGAGATGACGTACTGCATATGAGTTGATCTTGCAGATGGGGAATTGACAGACTGTCTATTTATATGAGTATGAAACTAGTTCCGAACTGGTCCTTAACATACCTTGACCTTAAGGATACCACAGATGGTGACCTCGAAGCCTGACCTCTAGAAGAATGAGAGCTACCTCTTCTTCTTGCAGGTATAAATCCAGAGGAGCTAGACTGAAACAGGATATCATCTCCTATATCTGACTGTCGAGAATTGGAATGATTGGCCTG